CTGGGCACCGATTACCTCCCGGGGGAGCCGAGGGGTGGGCTGGGACATCTGTTGCCAGGATTGGAGGCTTGCCTCCACTGGCCTTTTGCCTGGGCTGGCTGGTGGGCCTGCCTTCCTCTTGTCCCCACCTTCCCTGCCTTGTCCCACCCGCCCCAGGCTGATGAATTGCTGCTGGAGTCGACACGGTTACCTTTGGCTGTTACCTTTGGTCAGGAGGCTGGGTGACAAGGACAGGGAGGCAAACGTCTTGCTCCAGCCCCACGTTTGGAGACTGATGAACTTTGGCAGGGGGTGAACTTTCCCACCCAGCTGGTCTGGAAAAACCTGTTTGGGCCCCAGAGAAACCTGACAAAACTGGGTGCTATCAGCCTAAAAACATGTACACTGAGGCCCCCCGTAGCACACACGTTCTCTAGGCTTATAAAGGGCGAGAGAGGGAAGGGGGGAAGGCTTCCCTGCACCAAATCCAGACCCTCACTGGGCTGGCGTGTCACTCGGTTAACTCCCTCCCCGCAACTCCTAGTATTTTTCCAAAGCAAAACAGCTCACCATTCATTCAGCATTTATTGTGTGCACATAGGGTGGTAAATGCCGGGGATGCTGAGACAAATATCCCCTGGTGTCTTGATTGCGGGAACTCAGAGCTGGGAAGACAGATGCATAGCAGGTAATCGTAACGGACAGTGCTGAGTGCAGTGATGGAGATGTTTGGACACAGGGCACAGTGGGTGCCCAGAGGAAGGGCACACAGTGGATACCCAGGGAACAAACAAGGCTTCCTGGAGAAGAAGACATCATAAGATTGAAAGGAGCTGAGATGAAGGGAGAGCCAGACAGAAGAAGCAGAACCGAGCGTGTTTGGCAATGGTGGTGGTGGTGATGGTGTGGCTGGAGCATCACGTCTGAGACAGATGTGACAGATATGACAGATGAGATTGGAGGGGCAGGTGGGTCTAGACCACCAAGGTCTTGTTAGACCATCTTCAGGAGTCTAGACTTTTCTCCATCGGTGACAGAGAGTCCTGGTAATTCTTTAAAAGGAAGTTAGGAGATCAGATCCATTTCCGAAGGGCCACTTTGGTTCTTGTGCATGTTGAGGAGCAGCTCTGGACGAGATGAGCTGTGTTTAAGGGCCTCCTGCAGGAATCCCAGTGGGGGATACTGGTGGCTTGGGCAAGACAGTGTCCTTCGGGAATGAGAAGGAAGGGACACGCAGGGGAAGTGTCGAGGTACTAAAACATCAGCCCGATTGGGATGGAGGTGGGGAAGAGGGCTCCGGGATGACACCCAGGCCTCTAGCCTAGATGACTAGGTGTTACTGCTGACAGCTGAGACAGAGATCCAGGAAGCGGGGTAGGATTGGGAGCTGAAGATGTGGGTCTCAGATTTAGACACTTGAAGCATTGGGTGCCTGTGGGACATTGTGGGGGCACTTGGATTTATGGATTTTGTGTTCAGAGGAGAAGCCCAGGCTACAGGTGTGGTTATTAGCTTCTCAGGGTCACTGAGACTAGGAGAGGGGAGTTCCCTGGGACAGATGGAGGGGGGATGGAGGTGGGGAGGGAGCATCCTGAGCTGAACACTGTGGGGGCCTCGGCCCTGTTTGGCTGAGAAGGGCCTCAGTGCCCATCAGCCTCAGGCATCACAGAAAGAAGCGTGGGCCTTGGGTGCAGAGGGCTCTCTCCTGGCAACCTCGGACCCCCAGGATCTCCTCTGACCAGTGCCCTGGCTTGGGGCGGGAGAGGAGAGGCTGACAGACTGAAGGAAGCAGCTCAGAGCACCTGGGGCCTGCGGGGGTTACGGGTCTCACCTCCTGCTCCCAGGACTGGCGGTCAGCCCTCCCTGCAGCTCCGGCAAGGCTCCCAGGCAAGGCTCTGCCCTGCTGCTCAGCCCTTCCTGGAAGTCTCACCCAAGGGAGTTCTCCGCGCAGGTCCCTGACCCCACACCCCACGTCTTTGTACGCGTGTCTCTTTTCTGAGCTTTACGATGCTTGATTGTGTCTTGTATTCTGGAGGGAACACAAGCACTCCTCTTGCAGAGGAAGCTGAGAACAGGGCCCCACTGGGGTTTAACCTTCCCTAAAGCCCCATCTTCCACTTCCCTCTCCCACACTGACCCCTGAAGGGCCACTTCACTGGGGACGCGTGGCCCACTCTCTCTCCACGCCCTCCTCCGGCGGCTGGGCACTTCGGGACCAGCTGCCAGAGTGATTGACATAAAGCCAATCTATAAATAAAGTCTTTTTCTTTTCTCATAAAGACTTTGCGGTTGAGTTTGCCTTCAAGGTCAAGATCAGACCTTTCTAAATAAACACATATCAAAGGATCATTAGCAAAGCAGCACTGTTAAATTGAGATATTAACTTCTGTCAACCGCTTGTTTCTTTTTTGTTCGGTAACTCATGACTGCAGTAGGTTTTTATTATTTTGTCCTTAGGCGGTAGCATCTGGCTTCTGTAGAGACTGTAAAAATTAAAAAGCAACACAAATCATTGCGAGAGAAAAGCAGTAAATCCAATGATAAGAATTTAAAATTAAAATGTTTCAGCGCTTTTATATTCTGCAAAACACGAAATGAATGAGTTGGCTGCCTGTTGCCATAAACCTAACCCAGCTAATCGTCCGCCTGAGTTTTTTTTCCCTGTCTCCTTCGCATATCACCATCAATTCTGCCTTTGGCACGAGGCGAGACAGAACGTGAAAGCCATGGATGTGTGTGTATGTGTGTGTGTGTGTGTGTGTGGCGGAGCTGGGGCAGAGTGGCAGATGCACTGAGATCCACCTCATTTGAATGGTGGGGAGGACAGGGGGTGCTTGTGGTGGAGACCAGGCTGGGGAAGGAGGCTTGAAGATGTGCACGTCCCCATGGATCAGAATTCTCTTTTCAATTTGCTCTCTCTAGTTAAGTACTAAAAACAAAACACAGCAAAACCACCACAACAAAACCCACAGGTCCCAAACATAAAGAGCGTCTTGTAGCAGCCGAGTGAAATTCTCAAAAGGAATTTCCTGAGCAGGCATATGGTGTTGGATTAGGGGTCTGAGCAGGTGCTGGCTGCTTCCCATCCCAGAGAAACCCAGGCCCTTGGGTAAAGCGCTGGGGAGTTCGGATGAGGCAGCATTTTTTTTTAACACCTTTATTGTGGTATGGTTCCTGTACAGTAAACTACACATATTTCAGAGGCACAATTTGATGAATTCTGATAGATGTATATACCCATGGAACCACCACCACAATCAAGATAACTATCACTCCCCAAGAGGTGCAATTTTCGAATTCCCAGTTTGTCCCTTCCCACCCTCTTTACCCCCAGTAAC